CCCTCCTCTGGCGAGTGGAGCTGGACTCTAGGGCTCATTTGTGGGTCTGTGGTCTCTGGGCAAAGCTTTCCCAGTTTCCCTGGAGAGTGGTGGTGTCTGCAAGATGTGTGTTTGGTTAACATGTTGGAAGGGCCACTCATAAATTTCATAGGAACAGGAACTGAGTGGCTTTGAAACTCCAGCTGCTGATGGACTCGGTATGAGGTCTGTTTGGAAAACCAGGACATTTGCTTTTCATATCAGTCCCCAGCGCTAATCAGGCCCAGTGCCTGAAGGAGATGTGGCCAGAGCCTTCTCTTCCTCTCTGCTGGGACCTCACCAGAGACCTTGTATCCTTGTCAACCTTCACTGCCTGCCTTTCTACGTGTTTTTTTGTTGTGATGGTGGTGGTTTTTCATTTTAAGTTTCTAGGCCTTTTTTTTTTTCCTGCCATTGATACTTCCTTCAGTGTTCAGAAAGAAGAGAAAGAAAAAATAAAGACAGGAGAGAGAGTGGGGGAGGGAAAGAGGGAAGAAAAGAAGGAAGGAAAAGGGGGGAGAGAGAGAGAGTGAGAAGCTTAGAGAGTGTCTGAGAAATTAATTTTTGGGGAAGATGCTGGGAATTTGATGGTTTCCTTATAATGCTTGTTTTGTTATAAAATAACTAGAGTCAGTTTACCTTAATGAAGAAATGTTTTTTTAATTGAGAAAATTCTTCTGGCACCAGAAGGCAGCAGCCCTTTTGTAACCACCTGCCCCACCTCTGTTGATGGCAGGATATAAGGCAAGCACCTGACACATAACCAAAAACAAAACAAATCCATTGCCATGGAGTCAGTTACAATTCATGGCGGGCGGCCCCATGTGTTACTGAGTAGAACTGCTCCATAGGGTTTTCTTGGCTGTAATCTTTATGGAAGAACATTGCCAGGCCCTTTTTCCTGTGGAGCCCCTCGGTGGGTTCAAACTGCCAACCTTTAGCTTAGTATCCAGGTGTGAACCATTTGCACCACCCAGAGTCCTGGACACATAATAAGCTCTGAGTAAGTAAATAAAAACCCTTCCCTCCTCTCCCCTCTCCAACTCTCCCTCAAAGTTCCTTTCTTGCTTCTTGAACCTTTGTGAAACTTCTTAGACTATCAGAGGAAGAGTTTTCTCTGTCCAGGCTGACCTGGCTGTGCTGTTGGGGTTTTCCTTGCTGACTCTGGTGGTATCTGAGATAAATACCTTTAAAAGCCCAACTACAAGAACAACAATAACTCCCTTCTCTCACCTCTGGCATGTTTCGCCCTTTGCAGAGGGCTTTTAAGGACTGCTAACCAGAAGGCTAGTGGTTCAAACCCACCAGCCACTCCTCGGATGGAAGATTGGGCAATCTACTTCTGTAGAGATACTGCTTCAGAAACCCAAGGAGGGGTCGCTATGAGTCAGGATCAACTCAACATCAGTGAGGCCATGAGGACTGCCCAGCACCTCTCAGGATGGCCAAGTCTTAGGAGACCCCTCCTTTGCTGGATTGGGTGGACAGGCTTCTCTGGTAATTGCACGGTGGAACAGAGTAGCCAGAATGGGCCTCATCTTGGGGTCTGTTGTACTGTCTTCTCCTGTTTGTCCACCTATTTCTCAAGGGCAAAGCTCATCCCCTGATTGAAAACTTGTGAAGTGCTCCAAAGTTGCCATTTGGATATAGAACCTATCCCTCGTGTTATAGACACTGAACTTCTGTGAGTCAGTGTCCAGGACAACACCTATGCAAAGTGTCTTTATGAGAAGTGGCAAACAATACATAAGTACGGGTCAAATGAGACACTGCATTGAGCCCACTCTTCACCAAGCAATCCAGGGTGGTGTGTTTTGTTTCCCTCTTAATGTATTTCTGTTGACCTGAGAGTTTATTATCAAGAGCCTGAGCAGATTTAAAGCTTTCCTAAGTATCATATGGGATTTGCAGTTGAAAGATGATCAGCTCCAAAAAGGATAGCTTGCAGGACCCCACCTTTTTACTTCTCTAAGGAGGAAAATGGCCATTTATCTCTAACCTTTGTTGCCTGTGGAACATAAGCCTGTGCAGCTCAAACATTAGCGTGCATTGGAATTACTTGAAGGATGCATGTTGCTTGCTGCCTCTGTTGGCTGCTGTCCAGTCAGTCCCCGACTCATGGTGATGCCTTGCACCATGGAAGGAAACCCTACCTGGTCCTGCACTGTCCCAAGATTGACTGCAGGTGGAACCATGGTGATCCAAAGGGTTTTCATTGGCTGGTTTTTAGAAGTAAATCGCCAGGCCTTTCTTCCTTGAATGAATGTTACTATATGTCTCACTTTAGACCTGACTTAAAAAAAAAAAACACCTGGAGATCTTGTCAAGCATGGATACCTGGGCTTCACCCCAGAGATCCTGACTCAGTAGGTCTGGGGTGAGGTGCTTGAACTTGGCTTTCTAACAAGCTCCAGGGGATGTGAAGTTGCTGGTCTACAGACCACAGTTTGAGGACGCCAGCTCTAAGCCATGATAAGGGACTCCCTGCTTGGAGAGGTGGTTGCTTGAATGACCTTTTGTGGAGCTTATCAAGGGTTGTTTTGAATGTCTAAATCAAATTAGATGTACTGGTCCCTTGCCCCTTCATCTCTATGTATTTGCTCCTTGATGAGTCCAGTAAGCACAGAGAAGCCACATACATGAACTATAGCAGACCCTCTCCAGTCTCACTTTAACACTCCTGGTGCCCACTGTTTATGAGGGAATGAGGCTATTCATGAACCATCTCACCCCCCACCCAGGCCTGGATAGGTAACTGTAATCAGCCAAGGCAGCTGAACCACACTTCCCAGAGGCTGCTGCTCGGCAGGGAATCCAGCAGCCCTGGGTCAGCTTCTCGGTTTGTCTGCACTAGTGAAAGCAACCATCATTAAGGGCTGAAAGGAACACTGGGACTTTTAGTTACATGTCACTGAATTAATGTGGGAGGGAGGATTATGTACTGTAGTGGTCTTATTATATATGAGGGTTCATTAGTATCTTGGGATTATGAATAGGAACAGTAAAAGAGCTAACAGGTAGCAATTGTTGAGTACAATACAAGCTTTACCTCACTGAATCCTGTTGTTATTATGTGCCATCAAGTCAGACCCGACTCAGAGCGACCCCTCCTTGGGTTTCTGAGGCGGTATCACTACGGAAGTAGCTTGCCCAACCTTCCTTGAGAGGAGTGGCTGGTGGGTTTGAACCGCCAGCCTTCTGGTTAGCAGTCAAGTGCCTTAGGCACTACTACACTACCAGAGCTCCTCACTGCATCCTAGCACCACCCATTTTTGTTAGCTGCCACTGAATCAGCCCTGACTAATCTCGACCTCATGCACAAGGAGATTGAACTGTTGTGATCCACAGGGTTTTTACTGGCTGATTTTCTGAAGAAGATAACCAGGCTTTTCTTCCTAGCCTGTCTTTGTCTCTTGGCTCCACTGAAACCCATTCAGCATCATAGCAAGATGCAAGCCTCCATGGGCAGATGAGTGTGACTGTGCATGAACTATATTGGCTAGGAGTCAAACCCAGGTCCCCCACATGGAAGGCAAGAATTCTCCCACTGAACTACCACTGCCCCCTAGCCGCCACCCCCCAGTTAGGCGTGAGCAGATGGAATTCTTGTGTTGTAGCTGTGGAAGAAGGCTAGAAGAAGTCAAATACTTCACATCAGTGGTGGAGTTAGGATTCAGATCTCTGTCTCTGACTCCAAAGCCCATTCTCTTAATCACTATACCCTCTCCACCCTCTTTGTCAAGGCTTCTGTTGCATTTTTAGCCTGTGTTTTTTCCAGTAGAATTCTGAGATGTCTATATTGGCATTTCCAGAAAGTAATTCATAAATAGAGCGATGTCAGTGTGAGTTTAATATTTAGTTAAGAGCTAAAATCCACTCTATGAAATGTTCTGCCTGTCTCAAAGAGCAACAACTCCAAGAACATTTCCCCCCCCCAAAAAAAAAGTGGTAAACACCCACTCATCCAAATACCCTAAACACAAGCAAAAGAGGACCTATTGAAATAAGCAATGGGAATGATATCTCTTGTGCCATCTCGAAATAGCTACCTACTGTGTCTCGGGGGTTATTTGGACAAAACAAGGCTAACAGAGTCAAATAAAAATGATGTGTTTCATGCTGATCAGCAGGTCTGTTAGAACATTTGCTCCTTGTAGTGCTACTGAAGAGGTTGGCTATTTTCATCCCTGTCTGAAAGCAAGGGAAGACAAACTCTGAGAGGTTTGGTGACCACTCCAAGCTCATAAGAGTTATGGATTCTGGAGCTGCGAAGAGGACCCATCTCTGTCCCCTGACTCTGGCTCCCTTTCCCAGTCAGTGCTGGCTGCGCTGCTTTTTTTTTTTTTTTTTTGTGCTTTCAATAATCTTCACAGCCTTACCACTCCTAATCCCACCTCCCGCCAGAAGCCTTGCTACCATTTAGTGTATATCCTTCCCAGACTTCTTAATGTCTAAATTTCAGTTTTGATTTTTTTAGGTAAAATCATACATAGAGTATATTGGAAGCCCACTTACATCACTTGCATTATATCGTGAACATCTTTCTGTGTCATTAACTCTTCTTCCTCGGCATCAGTTTAGTGGTTATATGATGCTCTCATGTACCTTTTTTTGTTTGTTTGTTTCTTGCTTTTAAAAGAGATTTTTATGAAGGTTAACTTTTAAAATGATTACTAGTACCTTACAAAGGTAAACTTAAGTACTCCTTGGATAACAACTGTTCAGTATAAAATGGCGCACGTCTTTCAATTGCACTGAATCTTTGGAGGAGATTGTTTTGTTTTCTACCCGACAGACAAATACTCTGCTCAGATGCATAGGACACAGGGCTGTCTGGTCTGGGCTGGCTGTTGGCAAGTGAGTGAGGGATAAGAAGAGAGGGGTGTAGAAGCCACTGCCCATCCTGAAAATGGGGGAGAGGTGCACGACCATCTCTCTCAGCTGTGCCGTGGGTCTGAGTCCAGTGCCTTTTCTCTTTCCAGCAGACCCGCCCGTGGCTGCCGCTGTGGTGTCCCATTTTAATGACTGCCCAGATTCCCACAGCCAGTTCTGCTTCCATGGAACCTGCAGGTTTTTGGTGCAGGAGGACAAGCCAGCATGCGTGTAAGTATTCCCCAGTCTTGTGGGGATAGGGGTGGCCCAGCAACCACTTGAGAGAGCATTTACCTCCACAAGGTGTACCAGAGGCCCTGAGACTCCTGCTACCCAACATGTTGAAGGATCAGAACAACTGCTGAGGGACACTTGTTTCAAAAGCAGCTGGTTAATTACTGAACCTTTTGATCAAAGATTCTATGGAAGAAACCTGATCAAAAGGGAACAGAATTTCAAAGTCTCATGGAATCCAGATTTCTGGAGTCATGGAGGCTGAGTGAACCCCCCATACCCCCGAAACTATTGCCCTGAGATAAACCCTAAACCAAAAATATCCCCTGAGGTCTGCTTTAAACTAGACAGCAGTTTAGCTTAATTAGTAAAGAACGTTCTGCCTGGAGCCCTGTGCTCTTTTAAACATCTGTCTGTGTGGGATCACATTGAAAACAGCAACTCAGCAGGTTGGATAGGAAACTTTAGATAGGACAGTGGGTTTTTAAGTTAGTGGGGGAAGAAGAAGTCAGAAAAGGAGGATGAGAATTGTTGCCCAACTTGAAGAATGTAATTAGTGTCAACTAAGTTGTACATGTAGAAATGGTTGAACTGGTATAGTTCTGCAGTATATATTTTTAACCATAACCAAAAATGTGAATTCTTAAAAAATAAGAAACAAAACCAGCTGGTTAAATTCACTGGTTCCAGAGTCCCAGCTCAGTGACACTGAGCCAGGGCCCCTAGGGTAGAACTCTTCAGGAGTTCTGGGTTCTGTAAACTCTGAAAATTCCTGGGCTAGTGTTTAATTTACTACCTGGAATTCTGGAGGGCAAGATACCATGCTGGATAATTTTGAGTAGGCAGAATCTTTAAGCTGAGGTCTCTGCCCCCTAGAATCTTTCCAGACTAAATAGAGTAAACTGAAAATACAATAAAGAGGGCTTATGTACATAAGTGGCAGTGGAACAAGACCAAAAAACAAAAACCAAACTCATTGCCATCAAATCAATTCTGACTGGTAGCCACCCCCGTTGGGTTTCCAAGGCTGTAAATCTTTACGGAAGTAGATTACCCCATCTTCCTTCTGCAGAGCTGCTGGTGAGTTTGAACCACAGACCTTCTGGTTACCAGACAAATGAACCACTGACCTGGTTAGCCTTGCCCACTGGGCCACCAGATCTCTTTAACAGAACAAGAAGCAACTTATAAATACAGATGCATGTAGCAAGGCAGGGTGGATTTCCAAACCTAGACAAGCATCAATCCCCTGAGGGCTTCTTAAAGTATGCCTGAGCCCCACTCTGACCTACTGGATCAGAATTTCCAGGAGTGGGAATCAGGAGTCACATTATTGAAGAACCATGGTGGTTGCCATGGTTAGCCACGTTAGGAAAGAAAGACTTCCTTTAAAACACTCAGAGATAGCTTCTCAGAGGAGGTGGGAACTGGCCTGGGCTTCTGCAGGTGTTAGGGTTTGACCAGGTTGGGGACAGATGAGCAGTTATTACAGGCCAGGAATGTCCAGTTCAACTACAGCACTGGGAGGGAGAGGAGACCAAATTGGAGGTTGGAGGCTAGAGCCTGTCAGAAGTGAGTCTTTATTCTCTAGGCAGTGAGAGTCATATCAGGTTGGGAAAAAATTTTAAAACTATGTCCATCAGTGATGGAATACTAGGTGGACCCATCAGCACTGTTGACCTAATAGCAATCATGCCTGCTGTCAGGGCAGTCCTGTGCATTGAAAGGCATTGCAGCATCCCTGACTGCCACCCACAAGATGCTGGTAGCTCCACCACCTAGTTATGACAACCAAAACTGTCTTAAACATTATCATATGTCCCCTGATGGTTAAAATTGCCCCATGTTAAGACCACTAACTACATGAAATTGCCATTTTTGTAGGTCAAATTGGTCAAAAATTGGCAATTTCATATGGTTCATCCCGGAAATCAAAAACAAACCTGTTGCCATCAAAGTCAATTCCAATTCATAGTGATCCTATGATTCTAGAGAGTAGAGTTGCCCCATAGGATTTCCAAGGCTTTATACTTTTTTCTTTTCCTTTTTTTTTTTTTTTTAAGCGCTTGTTTTACATTCAACATAACACGTACATTTAGTTCCATTCCCTATCCACCATGTCCAACCCTTACCCAGTCTCCTCCCTTCTCTACCCTGCAACCCTTCCTCTGTGCCCCTCATAATTATGCACTCCTGTTTGTCCTGCATTTCCTCAGTTTGAATGTTGGCCCTCTGGTGTCCCATGGTCTATTGCTCTAAGGGAAGTATTACCACTGAGTGTGTGGGTGTGGCACTCTGGGTTGAGTGGTCTGCGTGTAGATCTTGTTAACTAGTGAGCTGAGAGCCTGCCCCTGGGGGTGAGTTTTATTCCAGGCATAGAATGTATTCCAGGGCCATAGTATTGGGAGTCTCACCAGATTTCATCTGACCAGTAATTCTGGTCATTATTGAGTTTTTGGATTTTGTTCCACGTTTTCCCTCCTACTCTATCCAGGATCTCCAGATTTGATCCTTTCCTGAGTGGTTGGCATTGGTA